TGAGGATTCTTCAGATTGGCCTTTTTGTTCAATCTTGGCTCTCATAATAACTTGCATTTACATAACCAAAATAGAGTATTTTTCCATTTGTTTTAACATGGTGAAGTTGTAGGTCTCTGAATGAGACAGTAGGAGAAAGTTTGAGAATATCATGACTCCTTGTATTTACCTGATAAGCCATCTTGGAATGCTTTTGGCAGAATAGCTTATAGGAATCAGGCAATATAATAAGATGAAAATGGAAATAATGCCTGCTCTGAATTGCACTTTCTCTGGGTCTCTGTTTCTGGTATAGAAAAGAAATTTCATGTCTTCCCATTGAAGTGTTAGGGTTCTTTTATCTATTTATGTATTTATTTTATGTATATATGTGTATTTGCATCTATTTATTCATTAATTTATTGAGTCAGTCAGTCATTCTGCAAACATTTACTGAATGTCTTCTAGCTGACAAGTGATATACTAGATACTGGGAGTATAAAGATGAAGGAGACTTTATATTTATCATCCAGGAGCTTACAGTCTATTGAAAGAGACCAATAAATAAACCAGAGGTTTTAATATACAGTGATAAGAACTATAATATTACTGCTACTACTTACAGCTAGAATCTGCTTTCAAGAGATTGCAAGTAATTCAGTGGGGCTTAACCTGAGATTAGAGATTGGCAGAACATAGGTAATAAAAAATCTTAGTGGGCAGGAAGAAAGTGATCCAGCTTTACCTGGGTTGTGGAGGGGAGCTAGTGAAAGATTTAAAAAAGGAAAGGGAAACAACCATATTCACATTCTTGAAAGAACCTTTGGCAACAGTGTAGGGAATGGACTGGAAGCAGTACACATGGAAGCAGAGAGAGCAGCTACTGCTGACTGGGGTGTGATAGTAGACGTGATGCTGGCCTAAACTTAGGCAGTGAGAATAGAGCAATGTACAGAGAAAGGCAGAGGAAAGCCACAAGATTGCATTCTGAACTGGTGGGGTGTCAGGGATGAATGAGGAAGAGAGGAGTCAAGCTGGCTTGGTTTCTGGCTTGGGTGGCCAGATGGATGCTGATGCCTTTCAGTCAGACAGGAAAACTGAAGGGAGAGGCAGGTTAGAGGAAAAGATGTTTTGAAATTATGGAGTTTGACGTGCCTGGATGATGACCGAGTAAAGCTACCCAGTCTGTGGTTGGATATACTAGTGAGGCACACTTAGAGAGTCAGGTTAGAGATATATATTCCAGTCATCAATACCTTGTTGGTGGTTGAATTCTGGGGCTTGTATGTGGTAACCCAGGCAGAGTTATGTGGAGTGTAGATCTGTGGATGGACTCTTGGGTAACACACCACCATTTGGGGAATTGTGCCAGTCAGAATGGAGGATGTTGTACAGTTGTAAAACATAACCACAAATCTCATTGCTTTAACACAAAGAAAAGTATATTTCTTGATCGTGCTACAGTATTCAATGAGGTTGACTACAACACCTCTGGTCACTATGGGTTGATGGAATCTCCACCTTGCCACATCTTTCCATGATTGCCAGGGCAGGAGATGGAACGCTCGTATTGCTCTATAGGGTGGCTGTACTGACAGGTGCATGGTGATTGGTTAAGAACACAGCCTTTGAAGCCAGATCACATGTGCATATATTACCATATTGTTTTGTGAATACTGTGCCCATGTAAACAATGTGCACACATATACAATGGGTTGAAGTGATGAAATTATGTAAAAATGTCTTCTGACATTTCTAGAAGTGAATGTAGGTCTCATTCAATGATAGTCTGAAAATGTGACTGTTCTGGTACCTAGTACTGCTCTGATAAAAATATACCACAAATGGGATGACTTTAACAAACAGGAGTTTATTCTTACAATTCGGAGGTTTTAAGTCCGAGTTCCAAGTGCCAGGCTCTAGGGGCTGGGTGAAAGCCCCTCAGCCTTGGGCTTCAGCTCTGCCTCCTGCTCCTAGCCCACTGGAGCTAGAGGCTTTTCTTCACTCAGACGGTTGCTGGCTGCTGAGACTGACAAGCCCAAGCTTGACAAGTAAAAAGACACAGTCCTGATGTTACCAAACCACACAGCAGGTCATTAATTCAAGTCCATTGAAAATCCCAAAGTTGGCAGAGCATGGCAGGCTGCTGAACAACGACATGGCTACATGCAGGGTTGAAGCATGCCATAAGCTAGAGACCATTTCCAAAGCTGTTTCTTATATACTGGAAGCAGATCACACACCCAAAGCAGCTACTCAGGTGCTCCAATAGATTCCACCATGGAGTTCATTACCAGTTTCACCACGGGAAATAACTCCATCTAGCTGCCCAGCCACTCAACCAGGCCCAGCCAAGTTGACACACAAACATAACCACCATAGTGACTTTTGATCATGTTTGTATGAAAAAGATATAAACCATGGTCAAGAAGTCATGGATCAAGTTTGGTAGTACTTGGTAATTGGAAAATAAATAATTGAAACTGTGTGTTTGCTCTGGGGCAGTTTACAACCAGGCCTGAGAGTGATGGAGCTCGTTGTAGCTGATCTGTGCCCAGGTATAGTGGGTCAGAGATAGGCAGAAGGTCGGGTTGAGAGCTGCCATGGCCCAAGCACAGGCTGGTACCATGATGGGTGTGGGGGCCATTGCTTTATGGTGCTGGCCCCACATGAAGCTGGGCAGCAGGATTGTGCGAGTGCAGGTGGCCAGTCGAACCTGTCTTGTCCAAGCAAGGGAGGTACAACCGCTCTGCGCTCATGGCCCTCTGCCTGCCCCACAGCATCTGCATGAGCAGGAGATTCTAACAGCCCAAGCACGGTGACTGGACAGCAGGGTGCAACGTATATGACTGTGGCATGCCTGAGTAGCCTCTCCAGCCTGGGGTGCCCAGACCTATGCTGGGCTGGGGCTGGCTGCCCTGGCAAGGACTGTTTCCAGTCAGAAAAAGTGATTTCTTCCTGCATTGGAGAAAGCAGCATGCAAAGCATGGAAGGAATCCTTCTGGGAGAGGAGCTGCTTTAGAAACTCAGGGGTAGGCTGGTGAGGGTTTGCTGCTGGGAGACAAACCACCACATAAACAGGCACCCAAGACAAAAACTTAACATTAAATGGACAGGGGAAAAAAAAGGAAACTGAAGTCACCAACATGTGAAAAACACTGTGTAGTGTGCTTATGAAAATAACACATGAGGATTTCATGGTATGAAAAAACTGTGTAACATGCACATTATTTGTGTAAAAGTACAGTGTCTGCCTGATGCCATGGGCTTTGCAAGAATTCTCTCATTTAATCATTATAGGAACCCTAATACAAGAATTATTATATGTTGCACATCAGGCTTGCTTAAAAATACTTCATGGATATTAACAATCACCTAATGAGTGGTTTAGGAGCTCTGGTGGCGTAGTGCCTAAGGCATTTGACTGCTTACCAGAAGACTGGTGGTTCAAACCCACCAACCACTCTTCAGAAGGAAGACTGGGCAATCTACTCCTGTAAAGATTTACTGCGTCGGAAACCAGTGGGGTCGCTATGAGTGAGAACCAACTCGATAGCAGTGGATTTGGTTTGGTTTAAGGAATGGCTTATTATTGTCTCCATTTCCTAGCAGGGAAAACAGGAGGTGGTAAATCATGCTCAGGTTCTTAGACCTTCTACTTAGAAATGATGCATGTTACTCTGCTGCCATTTTATTGGTCAAACTCAAAAAGAGTAGGAAAGTGTGATCCTTCTAAGTACCTAGGATAAAGAGAAATAGGATATGTGAAGAGCCCTATTGACTGCTGCAGGAGCAAAGCGAGGAGGAACCACCTCTGAAGGGGTTTGAGGAGTGGCCTAAGAGGTAGGAGGAAAGATAGATAAGAGTGATACAGAGGAGGCCAAGGCTGGAAACAGGCTTAAGGAGAAAGCTGTGGCTAGTCAGAGAACAGTAGGACAGAACTATCTACTGTGTTTGACATTATGCAGGTCATTGTCACTGGCCTTTTTGCTTTGACACCCTCACCATAGGGCTTTGCTTTAGCTGTCCCCTTTCCAAAGTACTCTGCCCCAACCCAGGTATCTGGAGACAAACTCCTCACTTCCTGTAAGTGTTTGTGCACATCTATCTCTTTTCAAGGAGGCCTACCCTGAGTATTCTATTTAAAATTGCAGTCTGTCTACACCCTCCCAATTCCCCTCGTTTTTTTCTGAAGCACGCATCACTGTCTCTCATACTGTGTAATTTAGTTTTTATTATATTTATTGATTACTAGTCTGTCTTCCTTGCTAAAATGTAAATTCCAGGAAGACATGATCTTTGTTTTGTTCATTGATATAATGCAAGTGCCTATATCAGTGTCTAAAACATAAACAAGCAAACACACAGCAAACAAGTTGTTATTGAGTCACTTCATAGTGTTTTCAGTGCTCTGCCCTTTCAGTAGATTGCCAGGATTTGCTTCTGAGGTGCCTCTGGGTAAATTCATTAACTTGTTCATAAGCTTGTTGGAGGAGCTCTGGTAGCGTAGTGCCTAAGGCACTTGACTGCTAACCAGAACGCTGGGGGTTCAAACCCACCAGTCACTCCTCAGAAGGAAGGTTGGCTAATCTACTTCCGTAGTGATACCGCCTTGGAAACCCAAGGAGGGGTCGCTATGAGTCGGGTCCGA